TTGATTTAAAAAATTTAGTGTAGTGTCATATGTGAAAGTTGAGCTCCATCGCCTTCCTCCTGGAATCTGTGCTTGTTTCTTTTATTAGCTGAAACTTAAATAAAATTTACAGTGCTACCTTGGTATACAACAAAATCTGCTCTGACTTCTGGGGAATGTGCTTGCTGCTGATACCTATGGAATGCTAACGACTAAGGTTAACAATTCCTGACCCTCTCTGCAGAGCATATCACTTTCTTTTTTTTTCTTTTTTTTTCCAGACAGAAGTCAGGGATTTCAGATTTGTTCTGGAAGGAGGCTGAGTGTGTGTGTGTGTTTTTTTGTTTGTTTCTTTTTTTGTTCTTTTTCTTTTTTTTTTTTTTTTTTTTTGAATCATTTTGGTGGCCTATAGCGGAACAAGCAGAAACCCCAGCTTTGTTGTTTCACCCTCAAAGGAAAATTTTTCCCAGGAGCAGCTGTCGAGAGCACTAATGAAACAAGACGAAGTATTTGTTAACTAACAGGACTAGTGAATAGCAAGTAACTAATTTACATGGCTTTACAGGAGCTCTTTATGAAAACCTTCATTTTTTTTTTGGCATTGTCAGTACGATAATGGCTGTTATGACTGCCATCATCAGGAGGTAGACTGTTGTTTTTGTCTCTTTGTCCTCTTGAAGCGGTCAGAGAGAATCATGGAAACTGTACAGCTGAGCAGTAGTTGGCATATGATAGTAAAACCTGCAGCAGCTCTTGCTGTTATTTTGCAACTGGTTAGAGGCACAGACAGCTTAACTTTTAACAATTTACGTGGTTGGGTTTGCAACAGCCGCTCCTCTGCTGTCATAACTGAGGACAGCAGATGTTTACATCAACAGGGGAATGTCTGAAAAACAAAACAAATGTGTTCCTAACTGCCTAATCACGAACTTGGTCCTGCAACCAGTTATATGGATGGGCACGTCTAATAGTGTCACTTCAATGAGAAAAGGCGAGTCCTCCCGTTACTCAGTGACGGATAGACAGACTTCCCGCAGAGCTCCAGCAGGGGCTGTGTATAATTACAATTCAGCAGTTGTTAGCTGGCTGCCGACTGTGTGCTGTGTAGCAAGTTGCTTGGTAGAAACAAGTCAATAGCTCACCAAAAGCAAATATTTTGAGTCAGATCCTGGCAGTCGCTGAGGGCATGGCCATGACAAAAACTACTCGGTGCAGAACGCCAAAGAATTTGTGTGATACATCTCATCTCTTTCCATGGTGCAGGGTTTTTCCTTTGTGCCTGGAGGGAACCATCTCGTGATGGTACACAGAAACTATCATGCTGCAGTCAGCATGCTCAGCTGAGAAGTCTCTTAGGCTGAGCTGATGGGAGCAAGAGAGTGCTAAGAGAGCACTGGGGTTTGAGTTGTGCAGAGCCAAATGGAATCCTTTCTCCATTAGGAGTGGCAAAATGAAATAATCTCTGTAAAGTAGACCCTCATGTCCTTTCCTTGGAGCCTAGAGCAGGGAATATGTTTCATTTAAAAACATGAACAGATGGCACTGTCCACACCTCCTTCCAACCCCTTATGTTCCTTAGCCTTTTTGTTATCAAACTTGCACAAGATCTGTAGATTTAAGCTTGCTTCCCTCCCTCTTTATCTTTATGGAACTTCAACTCAGCTCTCACCTCTCAGCAAGAAAGTCTTAACACATTAAGTGTTAAGATAGCCCGGATAAAGGGTGGAATCCATTCCTGGCTGGCATGCAAAACAAAATGCTAAATGCTCAGTACTGTCTTGTGGTTAGAGAAGTTGTCTTTTACTTGTTGACTATAGCAAAGGAGTCTGTCTTTAAAGCTAAAGAATCATATTCAGATGAATGCTAAATATGTATATACATATATATATATCATAGGCAAAACATTTGAATGAGAAGTAAAAAGTCTTTCCAACACAAGTGCAGACACTGTCCTGATTTTAGCACTAGCTATTATGTTGTAATGGGTTCAGACTGAAGTATTGGATATATCCCACATCCTCCTGCAATGCTAGGCAGTGCTACATGTTAGGATATGAACGTGTCTGTCACATCTGCCTTTCAACAGATGCTGGTCCAATAAGTGCTCTAGGAAGCTTAGGAGATATAAGCAGAAAAGAGGAACTTAATTTTTCAGTCTTGATCAAGACTGTGTATGAGACAAGCCAAAAGGTTACAGCAGATCTAGGCATGCCTAGAAGTGGAGTCTTAGGCAACCAATAGATAGTAGCATAAAAACAGGATATCTATGAATTTGGATGTTTCCAGGGTTCAGCAATGTACTGGTAAAAATAAAAATAAAAAATCATAATCTGTATGCAGAATATGGATACCAAAGTCCTGCACATGTTAGTAATGTTTTTTTTTTTTTGAATCAGTACGTATGTCCTGTTTTGGTAAACAACTGACTTCAACTCAAAGTAATCTAAAAGTAATGACAGCTGTATGAAAATCCTCTGTCATCATGCTGAGAGGCTCTGTCCCTTTGACTGCCTCTCAGTAATATTACTAATCAGTGTTCACTGATTGAGAGGGGCAATTCTGAGTTCTTTTGAAAGACCTCAGAATAAAGTAGTGTTGAGAAAGCTGTGGTAGAGGCTAAGGTATCTTTATTAAACAGTTCAATGATTGCTTGCACACTCTGTGTCTTCTGCCAATTCTATTAATGACCTGCTCTGAAAGGTAACACGTTTCCCCCCCCCCAAAAAAAAAGTGTTCAAACATCCCACAAATGTCCATTTGAATATATTTCTACATAAATTCCATATGTTGACAAGCTTATATTTGAGGGAAAAATAGCATTTCTTAATCCTGTATTTGATTTGCTGTTATAGACTAATCCAATTGCCTGGATGGGAATAAACCTTGGTAGAAGATGATATTTGTCTTTATTAATCGTGCAGAACACCCACAGCTCAAAAAATAGCAAGGTGATATAACGCAACCTCAATGTCCATCCCAGAAAATAATTCTAGATGAAATGGGCCCCATGCTAATAGTTAATACAATCATTTCCTTATGCAGAAAAACTTTAGAGTGATTTTGTTGTGGGCTTTGTTGTTGTTTTATTTTTTCTTCCATGTTTTACTTGCACGGAGTTTTCCTATCTTTTCATTTCTTGAAGGTGGAATGTCCTTACTCCCCCCATGAGCTCTCACATCTTTTTAAAGATTTGCACAGTTTATTGGTGTGCCTTGTTTCCTCACAGAGATTACCTATGTGCCATGACCACCATGGTACCTGAGCATCATTATGGCTAGCTATGTTACAGGATAGAGTCATTCTGCTGGAGCTGTCCTGATGTAAGTTGTATTCTACATCAGTCAGGTTTTGTCTTTATCAGACATCAACCTGCTTAAAGATAAATTTGAGGAACTATATTAATGAATGCACTTCTAGAATGTCTTATCTTTTTTTCTGTGCTAACTGCAAGATCATCTTTATTATCAGTCTTGATTGACATAACTATTTAGTACCTGATCTTACCATCCTAAGAAAAGCAAAGTCTTAGAGGAGTAACATTTTCATAAAAGTGAAGATAACATAGGAAAACAAAAGCAATTTTGTGCTACCTATTTTCCTGTAGATCATAAATATTTATTTTATTTCTCTATTCCATCACCACTCAAGGCAGAATGGATAACCCATATGTGGAAGGCTTGGATGGCTTAGCTGACATCTGAGCTCTGAAATAAAACTGTCCAGTTCTGTATTACTGTTCTTGGGTCTGGAGGCTCACTGCAGGACAGCTTTCAGAAGTACATTCCAGATACAGAAGGACTGACTCTCATTGTCCATTTTCTCTTTAGAAGTCACCCTTTTCTCTTTATAAATTTACTTCACAAAGTTTTATAAAAGCAGATGATAGTTTATGAATTCTGAGAATTCTTGTCCAGTTGCATTTGCTTATGCAAATTAACAGTATTGACTCATGAGCACATGCAATTAATGTTTTTTTTTCTCTACTCTGCTGTTTTCCTTCTTGTTCCTTTTCAGTTCAAATTCAGTTTGATTTAGAGAAGTTTTTTTTTTTTTTTTTTTTTTTGTCCATCAGTCTATGTTTCTCAACACCTGTACTTTTGAATTCAGGGTTATTTCATATAGGTAAACTTACATAACTTAAATAGAATTAGATAAACTGCAAATATGTTATCTGATTTATTTGCCTTTTGAATGTCTCGGTGTTTGACTGTTGCTTTAAAAAAATGTATTTTATCCAGATGATTTGTTATTTTCAAAATCCCTTTCCCTTTTTGTAGTAGATGTTTTTAAAGGCATATGGTTGTATTAATGTCAATATTAAGTAGGACAAAACAAAGTTTAGGGTAGAAAAACACTTGTGCACCAAGGAAGAAGTTGCACAATTAGTTGCAGAACTTCATCTGCGGTAAACTTTTCTCAATTTATTGAGAATCATTTTAGTAATAGTGCCTTCTAAAATTGGAATACCAATTAGTTAACTAATTGTAGTTTAATCATTAGTTTAATCCAGTGTGCTGACTCCAGTGTCCCAGACACACTAATACTGTCTAAGAATTTTAGTCAAAGAGGCTTGTTTTCATACATTATGTCCCAATTACCTGTTTGTATTGCAGATGATGTTTAGTGACAACTGAAGCAAAGATAGATAACAGTAGGAAAGAATTAGAACTTTATTTTATGTCTCTGAATAACCATTGGTCATCACTAGAAATGTGGGATGGTTCAGTTGCTAGCACGGAATACTTTGGCAGAAGAGAAATAAAAGGGCTGAGTAGTGAAGAAAAATACGTGTTTCATGGAGTTCTTCAGGATAATTACTTGTGTGAAAAATCTGGTATTTTTTAGGATTCACAGAAGTTCTTGCAAATAAATTGCTGATGAACTGAATGTACATGAAGGACTAATTTTGACCTCCTTGAATAATGATAGAGCTAACTTGGTACTTTCTTTTCATGCGTATGTTAATGAATGACTTTTTGTACTACTTGACTAGATCTAATTTGTAGCATTCTTTCATGTTCTAGGCAGTGAAATCACTTTTTCTTCCTAAATATGGCTCTAAGATTACCTATCCCTTATAATCACCTATGAAAAGATTTCCTGATGAAGAATAGTGTATTGAGGTATGCTTTAAGGAACTCTTCATAGCACTCAATAAATTTTTTGTTTTAAGCACAGTTCTAGAGGTTCTTTTTAAGAAAACTGAATGCTCGGAAGAGGTGCCATTTTGACTTTTAAAGAAAAACTGCTGCCTTTTTCTCATAGAATTAATGCAATCCAAACAACAAATATTCAGTCTTTCTGAAACCGCCCAAGTAGCGTGCCTCAACTGTGACATAAGGAACTGCTCCTTTGTAAATATATGATTAATATCCCACAGTTATATCACAGATATATTCATTGTATCAACTGGATTTCTTCCAGTAATTTTTGGAACTTCCTAGAATAAGTAGAATTTTAATTGCAGTTTCATCCAACACAATGCTTTGTAAAATTTATGTATTTCGGTTTTTTGCGGACTTTAGCATTAGGGTTGTGTTGGTGGTGTTTTAGATTTTTTTTTTTTCCTCCTTCCTTATACTGTCTCATTTCCAACTCTTCTCCCAAATCAGGCTTCATTCACAGTTTCATTAGGATAGCTATTTTCACAGTGAAAAATGCCTAAATGGAAATTGCTACGTTTTTGATAGTAAAACCATATTTTTCTCAGCAAAGGAGTCTATTTTTGCTTGACACCTGTCCCATTTCTTTGGGAAAATAGACCAGTTTTTGAATTTTTAATGAAATGTGAAGAACCTTGAATTTTAAACTGGTTTTGATTTGCTACACTGCTTAGAGCCGTAGAATCATTTAAGTTGGAAAAGACCTCTAAGATCATCAAGTCCAACTGTTACTTTTCTCACCCGCCCTCATGGAGCTGGATCAGGACAGAGAATATATTTCATATATGCTGCTAAGACATTGGAAAGAAGTTCTGGCTTAACTGACATCAGTAGTCTTCATTAATTTCAATTAGACAAGAAATACATTGATGATGAGTAGGCTACTAATGTAAAAACATATCCAGCTAGCTGCCCAGTCAGATAGAAACTTGAAATTCTCTTTGAAGGCCTCTGCTATCTCTTTGGCTTTTTATGATTACCCCTTTGCATAAATGATTTACCAGCTTGTTCATAGATAGAGGATGCCTTGGACATATTTGTGTGAAGGTAATTTTCTGTGATTATTTATGTTATGAGTTCTATCCCAGCTGCGTTTTTTTTTCCTTTTAACTCTTGCTTAGGAAAAAAGTCAGTGAAAGAAAAAAATCTAGGAATAGAACCATAAAATTTATATAAAGACTCAGGTGTTTCAGCTTTCAGTGGTGTTTCTAAGAAGTTGACAGGCTTTACAGATGCTCTCTCTCTTGCTATGGGTGTTCACCCCGTGAGCTGGGTGATCAGCTGGTTGTGGAAATGTTGGATTCATGTACAACAGATGAACTGAATTCCAAGGATGGTCATTTCTGTAGGTAAGTGGGTGCTTCCAGCAGGGCTTTGACAAAGGCAGAGTGTGGGGACTGGTCCAATTATTTAAAAATACTCAGGTTCCCCTGAACTCAGTGGCAACAGTCAGGGACTGTTCTTTTGTTTGGAGATCTGTAATCCTTTCTCTCTACCACTTTGTGAACTCAAGAAGCTATGTCTTGCGTCATGGTGATTTCCTCATGACTATTCTGCTTTTAAGCCCACACTGTGTAAATTTCAATCCATAGCGCTTGCTTCTCCAGGAAAATCAAATTAAATATATCTGGATTTTTACTAAATTTCAGTTATGTGGTACGCTGTATTGAACAATAGATCCTTTATTATCTCAGTATAAGGATAGGCCTAGGTGTTCTTTCCATGTAGCTTGAAAAGACGGGAACATAATACCTGAATTAAATTATCTCTATCCAGGCATGTATTTGTCTTTGGATTGAATAGTATTTGGATTGAATAGTATTCTGACAGTAACTGCAAACAACTTTCAACGTGAAATTTTTATTTTTTTTAAACTAGTATGCAGAGGTCATCTAATTTTATTTTAAATTTTACAGAATAGACCACAAAACTTGTGAGAAGAATACTGGATTTTGCAATATTTGACTGTGAGGAAATTTGCAGTGCAAACAACAAATTACAAACAACAAATAATTTGCAAGCATTCCACAGGCCAATATAATGCATAAAACATAGATTTCTAAATGATTAAGTTATGATTCATATACTATGAATAATGATTTATGGACAGATAACAAACAGAGAAATTTACTGGTATTAATTGATTGCTGTAGATAATTCAGTTCAGGCACTTGTGATTTAGACAGGATTTAAATTAGTAGCTAGTAATATGTGGTGTTTTAAATCCATTGGAGATACCCTCAGAGCATCTAGCCCCCCTCCTATAAGAGTTCTTAGTTTAGTTGTTTTTTTCATGATTGATTTATGTTTGCTACTAGTATTCACAGAATGTTGTTGATGGCGTTTATGTTTATTTTGAATAAAAATACTGCCTTAGCTTTTAAAGGCAGCACAACATTATTTATTTTTACGTAATATAATTTTTATGGTTAAGCTTAATCTTTATTAGTATTTGTAACTTTCCTGCAGACAATTCGCAGCACATAATTAGATTGTGTTGACTGCTGCTGCTTGTTCTAACTGATGATTAGGAATCGTATTGAGTTCAAAACATTTCCAGCTCAAGGAAAAATTTTCATTCACAGACTGATATGTGGTTGGATCCCTTGTCCTAACTTTTTAATGCTTCCAATAGATGCCTTTGGGCAAACCGAAAGTACTAATAAATAGGATAGATAAAGAAAACTATCAAAGCCCTGCTGAAATAGCTACAGAAAAGCAATCAAAAATATTTGCCAGTGCTCTGGAATATTAGACATTCATTACAAAGCCACTGCACAGAATAACTGAGGAGCAATAAGTTCACTTACATGCAAAACTGAATTGCTTCATAAGGCCGCTTTTATAATCTGAACATTTATAGAACAGCCAAATATTTTCCAAAGAGATTAAACTCACCTGGGTCCCAGTCTCTGGTGTGACTTCAGGAAATGAAATGTACCGATTCACGAGTGCTATGTGCTACAGAAAATGAGCCATGATCTATCCTAGTTAAAAGGAGTGAGAAAAGCTCGCCGTTCTGTCATAGCAAGTTGCATTCAGTTTCAAAGTGATTTGGCTAGCATGAAGGGAAAAGGCTATTTTACATAAGCTAAAAACAAATGTGTAAGAGGTTGGGAATCATGGCCTTTTGGTGTGGTACCAGACCTGTTTAAATCAGATTTCAAGTCTGTGGCCCTCACACAGAACTTGTGACTGAGGGAAGCAGAGTGTGCAGAAGAGGAAGCCTTTGTCTTGAGCATGAATAAGCATTTGGAGTGAGCATGAGGCTCCCACTTGCCTCAGGATGCAAAGGCAGCTGGCAGCTGAATAGATGTAGCGCTGTTTTTCTAGTTGAGAGCAAACAGAGAAGTTTGTGGTAAAAGTAGCACAAGTAGAAGCAGTACAGGGCACTGAGTGCAGCCATACTGCCCAGTGGTGGCTGATAGGACCAACACAGTACCAGAGGCAGAAAAACAAATGAGGGTCCCTGTTAACAGCATTAGCAATAATGGGTAGAAAGAGATCAGATCAATTAATGAGCCATTGGGTGGGATGCTAGGAGCAGGAGTGGGTAGGCTTTTAAGGCTTCTAAGACTTCTGTCACTGAAAGTAAAAGCTTGTCTTGGAGGGACAGCATGGCAGACTAAGAAGCTGTGCAACATTGCTTTTGTTAGTGAATGAAGGAAACTACAAAAGAAGGAAGAACGAAGCCACTTCTAGATATGAGGAAGCCTTGTCAGTAGGTATCAAGGGAAGCCAGAGGTTTTGTGGTTTGTGGTCAACTGGAGGGAATGATCCCTGGATGCAGTATGTCTGCTCTAGGGGTTACGGACTGGTGTTCAGATTATGTCTGCCACAGGTTTTGTACACTGGTGGGCTGTATGGAAAGAGACTGACAGTGAATTGGTGCCAAAATTTAACAGGACCCTTAACATAGTTCATTCTAAACCCTAGGATTGGTGTACTTCTATATATACTACCTTCTGCTTCGCTGTCCCAGTGTCACTGGAGGAGAACTTGAGAATTTAATTCTGTGGTCTACACTCTCCTTTTCTCCACTGCATTTCAACACCAGTCTTCAAAGCACCATAAATCACAGAATCACAGAATTTCTAGGTTGGAAGAGACCTCAAGATCATCGAGTCCAACCTCTAACCTAACACTAACAGTCCCCACTAAACCATATCCCTAAGCTCTACATCTAAACGTCTTTTAAAGACTTCCAGGGATGGTGACTCCACCACCTCCCTGGGCAGCCCGTTCCAGTGCCTCACAACCCTTTCAGTAAAGAAATTCTTCCTAACATCTAACCTAAAACTCCCCTGGCATAACTTTAGCCCATTCCCCCTCGTCCTGTCACCAGGCACATGGGAGAACAGGCCAACCCCCACCTCTCTACAGCCTCCTTTAATGTACTTATACAGAGCAATAAGGTCACCCCTGAGCCTCCTCTTCTCTAGGCTAAACAAGCCCAGCTCCTTCAGCCGCTCCTCATAGGACTTGCTCTCCAGGCCCCTCACCCCATAAAGTTATGTTTAGAATGATTTCACATCATAGGAGTCTGTGTGTGTGCGACTATATAGCTCTCAGTATGTGACTTTTTGCTCTTGTTCTTTCTCCCCCTATTTTATTATCAAGCCATACCACTTGGTTACATCAGTTGGTGTTTTGAGAGCTATTTATAACGTTTAAAATAGTGTGTGAAATTGCTATAATGATGTTCTTTAGTGCACAAGCAGGTGAATGGCTGTATGTGCATGAAAAAGAAAATAAGATTTTGCCTGTTTCATCAAATAGCCAGAAGAGTGTTTTCCACAAAGCTAAGCTTTTTTTTATTTTTTTTTTTTTCCTCTCCACATTCAAGGCAATATGTCTTGTTAGTGTCATTGCTGTGTACTCTGTTAATTATGTCCCCCATGGGCTAGCTAATGGTGATGGCTGCCTTGGAGTACTTTATGTATACAAAGTGTGTGTGTGCA